CGCTACAATGATTCTCGGTTCTGTCTACAATGCGAGTCGCAGAGTCCTAGTCGTAAGAATAATCGACTGCGATTGGTCAATTCTTACTTTGCGACTGCTCAAGCGACCATCGATACAACTGTACGACCATTGTAGACAGAACCGAGAATCATTGTAGCGGAGGCTTAAGCCTCGTCTATATAGAAGTCGTAAAGTCGTAGTCGTAAGAATAGTCGATTATGATTGGTTAATTCTTATGTGTCTGACTGAATTGACCAATTAGTCCCAGTCTACAATAGAGATTTAAGCCCTAAGCCTTAAGAAATTGACTAATCACAGTCGCGCATTCTTCTCATACTTGACCGTGATTGGCCAATTTCTTAAAGCTTAGGGCTTAAATCATCTATTGTAGACTGGGACTAACAGTCGATTATTCTTACGACTGCGACTCTGCAATTCTCAGGGTGCTTTCACATGGAGCGTAAGTTGCGTAGCGTAACCTGCGTATCGCCAATCACAGGACTAGTTCAACGGAATTATTGAAACGGTTCTATCAGCATGATCCTGTGATTGGTGATACGCAGGTTAAGGCCTTCACACATAAAATTCCGTAAGGACGTAAAACGTAAGCGTAAGAAAATCAACAGGTTGGATTTGCTACTGCTTGCGTCATTGCCTTACGTTCTCGACTGTGATTGGTCGATTTTCTTATGCTTACGTTTTACGTCCTTACGGAATTTTATGTGTGAAGGCCTTTACGCTACGCAATTTACGCTCCATGTGAAAGCACCCTCATTGTAGACCCAGCATTAGGCGCATGCGCGACTGAGAAGGACAGAAAGGGCCTACATGCAGCGCTCCTTTTCTATACCGCCTACGCGTTAGCATATGACTCGCGCACTCTCTATTCTTATATCTCTATGGTCTGTAGTCTTGCCGCAGGTGGCGCAGGTGCGTTCGCAACTTGATACGCGCCACGCGCCGCGGGCGGGGGCATCGTAATCGTAGGCCAGCGCCAGCAACACACTGCACAAGCACAGGCGTGCGAGTCTACGGCGCGGGAGCCACGCGTGTTTGCTCACCGATGTTGATCGAACGAGGTTGAGGCAGAGCAACGCGGAAGGATGTCAACAGCATTGCGGGAGGACGACGCCAGGGCGGCCGCCGCCGCCGCCGTCGACGCCAACACCAGCACCAGCATCAGCACCGTCGTCGACCATGCCGAGGGGCACAGGCTTCGCGCCGGGACCGACAGCTTCCCGAGCATCAACGAGAGGCCGGTCGACGACATCTCCCTCGAGTTCTTCTACAAACCGCACACCATCACCCTGCTGCTCATCTCCATCGGCGCCGTCATATACTCGGCGTTTGCCAGGTAGCCGAGGAGGCTCGCGTCGGCCTCTTAACCCCCTCGAGTGCGCGCGATTATGTCTTTCTCGCATAGGATTTCTTCTCTCTTCGACTCCTTGACTCCTCGTTCGCGTTTACGCGCCAGGCGTGAGACCTGCACGTGTCGCGGTTAAAAGACCACGTGTAGAATGAAGGAATTTCATGTCCCAAGTGTATAATTGTTTTACATCAGCCACAAGCAGATCGGTAGCTAATTTCGATAAGGTCGATAATCCTCCGGATGCAACGCAAAATTCCTTGGCGATGATCTCGAATGTTGAACTTTAAATGACGCAATATTTGTACGTTATATTCATTTTTTGCTCGCAATATGTTGTATGGCAAAGAAGAGAAAAGAGCCTCGTTGCAGTTTTCTTCGAGACAATGGAAGGAAACGCGGGTAATTCTATGCAAACGTGTTGCAGAGCGGTTTCTGTCCTTGGCCCATCTATTATAAGCCGTCCATGCTTCCGTTTGACTATTCTACATTATGTAATTTGTTGCGCCATTGATTCCGTTTAATATTGTACGTATTTAATATCTTGTTCAGACAACAGTCCCGATTATCACATATTTAAATTGCGTTCGCGATTCGGCTTGCATTATCAGCTTCGGTTTTTCATTAAGCAGACTTAGAAGAATACATATCAATTGTTGTAGTTTATCACAAATAAACTATAGGCGAACTTTATAACTTGGCTCCGAGTCATTGTTTGTTCCTCAATTGGCGAGGAAACTTATGTAGATGCAATTCGTAGGTCACAGGCCACTTTGTTACGCCATCGGATCTCACGATGTGCCGTACAATTGTCTCGCGTCTCTATAAAAATGCACCTCTTTCAGGAACACCACCAACGTGGAGGACAATATGTGGGCGGGCATGCTGTGCGTCATCTTTTTCTTCCTCATCGTATCTGTCCTGACATTCCCCAACGGCCCGTTCACCAGGCCCCATCCCGTCATATGGCGGATAGTGTTCGGCTGCAGCGTGCTCTATCTGATGGGCCTGCTGTTCCTGCTGTTCCAAAACTACGAGACGGTGAGGAGGATCCTGGTGTGGGTGGATCCAGGCCTCGCCTCCTTCCACATCGACATGGACAAGGAGTACGGCGTCAACTGCTCGGACGTGACGGTGGAGAAGATCTGGAACCACCTGGACGTGTTCGCGCTGGCCCACTTTCTCGGCTGGGCCTTCAAGGCCGTCCTGATTCGCCACCTCGGTATCCTCTGGGCTATCAGCGTCATGTGGGAGGTGACGGAGATTGCCTTTGCTCACTTGCTGCCGAACTTTGTCGAGTGCTGGTGGGACGCGTTGATCCTGGACGTTCTGGTGTGCAATGGATTGGGCATCTGGGTCGGCCTGAAGATCTGCTCCATATTAGAGATGAGAGAGTACAAGTGAGTCAGCTTGAATCTTGAGATTTCCTCGCAGACTCTACCGTTTGTAATAAAGAGTTTATTTTACAGAATTTACTTTTCTTCTCTCATGTAGAAACTTTGTCTCCGTTTCATAGGAGAAGGAATCTCGTTTTCTTTTTCTCAACGAAAAGTATCGAGGCTAAATCCTTCACTTGTTTCCTGAATGTAGGTGGGTCAGTATACGTGACATCGAGAGCACCACTGGGAAGCTGAAGAGAGCAGTGCTGCAGTTTACTCCTGGCAGTTGGACGTCCGTCAGATGGCTGGATCCAACTTGCACGCATATGCGATTGGTTGCTTTGTGCCAACTAGTGATATTCTGGCAAGTCTCCGAGCTGAATACCTTCTTCTTGAAGCACGTCTACGAGTTTCCACCGTCCCATCCGTTCGTCGTGGCCAGATTAGTATTAATCGGCGTAATAGTCGCGCCATCGGTTAGGTGAGTAGAAACACAAATTTGGAATGTCTCATGTAAATAACATCGGATTTCATGTCTTAGAGATTCCATGTACTTTACAAATTTGTGTCAAATATGAATATTGGCATTTCGGAACATTCGAATTGCGATTATTTCAAGATATATATATATATATATATATATAATTTGTAAACTAAATATTATTATACTTAAAAAATGGTATAGTTAACTTATAAATCTAATTTTGTCTTACACATTAATAAATTGATAAACTGACGTAATAAGATACTTAAAAATATGCGGAATACAGCATTTGAGTGTGCGTAGTCGAGACAGTTTGTTATAAACATTTTGTTACAATTACAGGCAGTATTATATGTACGTGACAGACCCGACGTGTAGTCGAGTAGGAACTCAATGTTGGGTCTACGGAGCAATCATGGTAACAGAAGCTTTGCTCTGTATACGCCACGGCGCGGCCCTGTTTGAGCGCACTCAAGCTCTCAACATCCTCCTCTGGCTACTGTGCCAGTCTCTAGTCTCGGTTCTCTGTGTCTACGGCTGCGTCTTGTGGCATCAGTACTTTGAGGTAGGTTTGTACAAACGTGTTCAGATTTTAATTTCTAGACGTCTAGGATTTTTAGGAAGGATATTGCTACAATATTTTCACTCGCAGAGAAAATGAATCGAAGCAAAGGATAATAATTGCAGGACAATAATTTGAAATTGTATAAAAATTTTTTTTCTTTCTGGTGAAAATTTGTGTTACCTAGATTGTTCGTTTCGATAGCCGATTAATTTTTGTAACTAACTCTCGTTGCTCCTTTCAAATGCATGGCGCTGATCGCTACAGACGGGAAAGAAAGTCACTATAAGACGGTCTGTCTCCCATCTGAACAGGTTTCACACGGATATAAGCGGTATGTGTTAATTGATTACCCATCATACGATGTGTAATCGCTTGGTGGTTTGCAATCTACTGAGTTTGCGGCACTTGATTAATCGTTCGCTACCGCTATTGTTCTATCATTGTCACTGTCAGTCATCCCGAAACTTGTCCTTGATTTATTCATGACATAATACCCTAACTCGACTATTGTGTTTTTGCTGATGACTTGAGTAATGAAGAACGGCGATTGATTATCCGGATAAATTATAGAATTTTTTTTTACGATGGCTGTATGTCTTTGTCCTACGATTTGCTGAATTTTAGGATTCTCTAGATTTTTTAATATTAGACTCCTCAGGTTCTTGCGTTTTTTTAAATATAAACTCGGATCTTGAAATACTCTAATTCTTGAATTTCTGGAAACTTCACCTTTTTGAGTTTTCGGATCTCTTTTTTTTTTAATTCTAAAATATGTGTAATAAATTATTTCTTGATTTTTTTAAGACTAAACAATAAACTGGAGAAGTCGATCTTGATTACATCTTACTTTTTAATTACTTTTTATGTTTTATATTTTAGTTCTATTTATCTTTCTTTCATATATGCTTTTCAAATCAAGATTTAAAAAAATCAATCAAATGTCGCAACTCAGTCGACATTGAAGCAGCAGTCTCGACTATGCTATTTTCAAACGTGTCTGCGTATTTCAGGGAATATGGCTCGTCGTACGAAATCCGTGGAAGAATTGGATAAGAAGAAACTGTGAGAGGAAAAGTGAAGAGAACCGCTTGATGGTGAACTGTAGACGTTAACTGTGGACATTGTACTTTCTAGTCGAATAGGACAATCGCGCGTAAGAGTAGAATGGATGGCGACGCGTGCATGCGATTGTTTGTGACGTGGTATGGAGTGTCTCCAAAGCTGTTACTTTTTGTTCCTTAGAAGAAATGAAGAACATTGTTATTACTCAAAGTAATTCGCGGACGCCACCAATTTGCGTTCCGTCAAGTTCGATGTAAACTTCGTGTATGTACGGCCATTTATTGATTCGTATTCATTCAGTGATTACATTGTTCGCTTACTTCCTCGTTCTTTCTTAACGTTAGTTATAATGTTACCTCGCAAACGATGCGCTTGCGGCAACGTGTTCATCGAAACATTGTTTTTAAACCTAAGACACACGTTTTTATTGTATGTAAATGAGAATCTCTTGATATATTGAGGATACAGAAGCAAAACGTATGTTCTAAAACTTCTTTATCTTTTTTTTTAGACTAGAACTAGAAATAGTTTTACGCATCAGTCGCGGATGAAATCGTGAAGTCGACGCTTGGTATTTCTAATTCGATTTCGAAATTGCATATTAAAGATATTGATACGCGAATCTCGCAGGGTGGCTCGAGCCAAGTTTTGTTTCTGTGCCCGTCAATTAGTCCGCTTCGTGAGTAACCATAGTCGACTGGCTCACTTGGCTACGTCCGCGGGTGCCTGCTCAGTCCCATTTCCCGCGAACGGTCCTCACGCCGGGATCAGCATAGTCTCTTTGGTCTCTATGTACGGGAACACGCTGCAAACGTCGTTCGGCGCGATCTGCGAGCCGAGTGGGCAGTTCCATGCTTCGGCGAGGAGCTTGCTGTTCGATGCGGAGACGAACACGCGGATTCGGCTCGGCAGATCCTCGCTCTCGTACAACGAGACGTACGACGATGTGAGTGGCAGCTTCGTGCAATGCGTCTGAAATGGCAGAGATATAAAAATGTGATCATGCGAGGCGACGGTCAAGGATTTCGCGAAAATTAAGAATCAACCGTGATTCCTGCAGATTCTAAGATTTTATCACCAAATGTCATCCGAGATATCAAGGATCGCAGGATTCTGCGGGATGCTCCGAGGACCGAGAGAAGCTAAACAAAACTGCTGTTAATGTAAAACGAACTGTGAGAACAGTACCTGAGCGTAGGCGAGGTAGAATAATTGGTCAATGCGGAGTTGTATCCATGGTAGTCTCTTCGCATCTGACTTCGTGAGAGCCAAAGTATCATAGGCTAGTCTGAGTCCCATAATTTCAGACAACCGCTCGTTCAAGGTCAACCGCGGGATCTAGAATATTTACACGTGTCGATATTTTGCGTCTGCGAACGATTCAATAAATCAAGCAAAACGCAAAAGAAGCACCACGTTTATTATGTTGAACCTTTCACAGAGTTTTTTTCTTAACTGTCCCTCCTCGCTCTTAAGCGTCATCTTACCGTAAAGGACACGGTTTGGCCGATGAAGGGTAACGTCATGGTCATAGATCCTTGATACAGATTCTCCTTTTGACAGTTGATGTAATCGTCGAAATTAGTGTTTGTGAATTCGTTCTCGAACATCAGAGAATCTTGAGTATTCCTAGTTTGGTTCCAATAGTGTATACCTGTTGTAAAGAACGGTAGCAAAAGATTCAAACAAGAGGTATTAGAAAAAAAGTAATCCGTATGATTTATTTTAATTTGGCCCTCAAAAAATTAATATGCAATAATTTTCTATCTCTAAAAATAACATGAATTACGCATAACTGCATGAGTCTACAAGTAAGAAACAAGTTTATAAAATTATTAATAGTTATTAATAATTAAACAGATTTGTAGGTATTTGTATAATTAATACATTATTGCAGTCATTTACCATTCGTGTCAAAATGATGGGCGATTTGATGAGCTATTAAATTCCCAAGCGTTGCCAGCAGAAGATAGTCGAAGGGTAATTCGTCGTTTATTAAGGACCAGTCGATGATACCGTAAGGAATCACGATGAGGTTTAGAGGGTAGATAACTTGGGCCTTCGACTGAAATGGCGTAGCATGATACGTCCAGCTGTAGCATAATTTACAGATAGTATAAATACAGAGAATTCAAAGGATGCGAAGAATTGTCGCAGGATTTGAGAAATTGAAAACAAAACTCTTAGAATTAAAAGATAAAAACTTTGATCTAGATTTATGAGATCCTGTATAAACTAAACAATCTGATGAAATATGCAAATCTGTAGAGTTAAACATCTAAAATTTGATGAATCCAGTTGGATTAACTAATCAATCCAATTGAATCAATATTATTTGTGTTTTATTTACATTTGTTTTGGATCGCCAACTTGTCTTTTCAGTTCGGTATACATGAGAGTTCTGTATCTCTTCAGCAGAATCATCGAATTGTCGAAGTAATTATCGTACAGAGTTATCTGAAATTCAATTATCAATATATGGAGTCTGACTGCAAAACCAAGTAAGATTCATATAGTGACTTTTAATTATGACAATACAGAAGATGAATTCACAATCCAAAATTAAAAAAATTATATACGTCATATTTACATACATATAAATGTGTGAATGGTATAGAAATTTTACATGTTCATATAACATTTGTTTCTTGTTTTAGATTCTAGATTCTAGATTTGTATTTTCCATGTCATCTTTAATAATAACAATTTATTTTAATAAAATAATGATAAGAATATTTTACCTCTGACACATTATATTCGCTATATAATGAATCTCTGTTCTTGAAATAGGAAACAACTGGTAGCACGAGCTTCAGGCTGTTGATCTTTTTTAACAATTCTTCTCGTCCTTGCTCTTTCGCCCATAGCACTTCTTGCATTTTCATCGACAACGTTTGTTTCAACTCGTAGAACATCTTTTCTGTCTAATGAAGAAAATAAAAAGAACAAATAATTTGTAAATTCGAAAAAATCACTACACTATTTATATTTAATATATTTTATTTGTATTTAAATTCACTTACTATTTCATTCATTTGTATTATCTCGTGGTCGGCAAAAGATGATATGTATAAACTGGACGCTTCTAGTTTTAAAAGATACGTAGCTGCATGCAGGCAATGATCCTTCGCATTACCGCGCTTTGGCAAGACCAACTGTGAAAAAGTTCATTTTGTTGTATTAATAAAAATACTTAATGGTAATTTTTATTAACACAAAGTATAAAATTGTTAAGAAACAATTGTATTATTTGTTAAATTGTAATGTGCTTTACATAATTTATTATTTTTATATTTAAGTCAAATTTACATACATATTTTTACTGTATTATATTTGAAGGCAAATGACCTTAAGATATAATATAAATTACCTCGTGATAAAGTCTGTGCGCGTACAATCCCATTATCGCGTTGTTAAAACCCATAGGATCCTCTTTAGAGTATTCTTCTAATCTACGTAAACCTTTAGTCAACGCGGTGTGGAAATAAACTTGAACATTCTCACTACTTATTATAAATAATCTTGTTAACGAGTTAATTAATTGCATCCAATTTATCTGCAAGAGAAAATTGTGAAGAGGCTGCTAATATGATACTCTAAAAGGTTGGAGTTAAATATTCGATTTCATACAATCTGTTGGTTTCTTTACTGAGAAATTACTGGAATGCTCTGCGTTATCACTTACGAAGGTACTGTTGCTCTGCAACTCCTCTAAACTGACACTGCTGTATTCGTTCATCAAGTACGCTTCCTGTCTTTCACTCTTGGACGGAAAGTTCTGCGGGATTAATAGCATTTTATTGATGAAAACAATAGTTATCAAAGGCTTGGTCATTTAATTACCGAAAAATACTCTTGCATTATAACAGAATCAATCACGTGAACGGTTTTTTCTATGTACTCCGATTGTTCACTCCGTTCTAAGAAGCTGTCATTTGCGCCCTTAAAAACGTTAAGTTCTGTTAACGCTTTCCTGATGGAACTCATAAATTCGCTCGTATTATTCTGTGAAAAAGAATAATTATTCACTTCAGTTCTTCTCTATACGCTTTTCCATTAATCCATTCATCACGAGACACGGTAGTGTCTCGCGCCAAGTTTTATTAACTTCGAGATGTACAAAATTAATAAATTTATAATTATCTAATACTGAGAGCACATTAGTTAAGTTAAAAAGATTAAAAACTGAGAAAGAACTTTACAAAAACAGAAGCGAACTTGTTGTTCATTTCATATTTATAAAATTTAAATCCTTTAACTTTCTCTCTCTCTCTCCCTCTCCCTTTAAACCAATTCGTGATAATTTAAGCAATTTGTACCTTGCATCTTTTATAATTATTGTACAAAATTTCGAGATCCACATATTGTCCTTTCATCTCGAACTTTTCCTCGGAGCACGGATCTTCCGCATACTCCGCTTTGAAAGGACTCTCATATGTTGTAGGACCTATCCTCAATGTGAAACTGTTTGGACGATAATCGTTCAACTCCGGCACGACGTCAAATAAAAGAGCGCTGCAAGATAACAAATCCTAATTTATAAATTTCATTTCAATGAACCTTCCTGAAAACTTACCTATGACGTAACATTAGTTGGGCAAATAAATTGGTGAAGTCTATATGATTTTTAGACCACGTGATAGGTATATAGAACTCTCCTACTTTTCTTAATGCATCGTTAGCTGTAACATAATTGATTAACGGCCGATTAATTCTTTACAATTTTACTATTTTTAAATTCACGTAAATTTATTCAAAGTCCTTGACTGTTCACTAAATGCTACACAGTAATTTACCCATTCTTGCTCTTTCACTGAAGTTTGTATTTCTTTCGTATTGCACGCAGCTGTCGTAGTACGTTGCGAAAGTCGAGCGCACGTTCTCACGCTTCTCTTTTAACATCTGATCTAAAATTATTTAAAATAATTACAATAAAATAAAAGACGTAAAAATATTCAATAATTAATCTCTATAGCTAGCCAACTTTTTCTCCTGAAAAAAGATTTATGTTTTCCTGATTTGATTTGCATATATTTAATAATAAGTTTACTTAAAATTATTTAGAACATGTACCGCAGAATGAGATAAAAATATTAATGAGATATAAAAATTATTAATATTTAATCTTAGTAAGTAAGCAATAGTGTGATTTTAATATATTTATTAATGAAGTTATTCTAGCTAACAATTATGCGTTATCAGTAATAAATTTACCGGCGATTCGTTGGTAATTTCTAGATCTCCGAACTAGATCTTCGTCTGTCAACAGTGGATTTGCCTCGAAACCGCCGCAAGCGTACTCGTAGAAATCGTCGCAAGGATCTGCCGAATGATTCATGTAGGACAACATCCTGCTGGCGATCTGCTTGCAGTGTCCTGTGTCGCAAACGCTCGTATTCTCGTCAGCAAATGCGATCCCTGCCATAGTAGTAAGATACGTCTCATTGTAACTTATTGGAACGGCTGTGTTGGCTGTGTGGTTGTAAAAAACAAAAGTAGCAGTTGTGTTCGTATAACTGGATGTGGAAGATGCGCTGTATTTCTCAGTGACATAACTCTTTTCGCTCAGTGCATTTTCAGCTTCCTACAGAGTTAAATAATAATACAAATGTTAACGTAACTTCTGCATATTTGAAAATATCTATATAAAGCTCATATATTAAATATTAATTCCACAGATTAAAAAATATCTATAATACAAAAAACATTAATACGTTAAATATTAAAGGCAATTAATTTGAATGCATTAAATTTTTCTTACGCCTTTCTTAGTTGTTGAAAACTTTTCATCAATGAGTGGAGTATAATTTACAGTGGAAGGAGTGCTCTCTCTCGTTACGATCTCATTAATTAACGTCGTATTATACCCCATGACTGCAGGTTCCTTATAATTTAAATGCTTTGTTGTAGAATTTTCAGCATCTCTATCTTCTTCAGGATCCAGCGACGTTGAAATAATAATATTATTCGTTGTTACCGCGAATTGCGAATCCTCGGAATAATTTTTATCGGAGGAATTAGCTGTGTTTTCTTCAGTTATCGGCGTTGTTGAAAATGCATCATCAACACTGATCCTTAATCTCTCATACTTTTTAGTGGAATTCTCGGAAGCGCTCTCTTCGAGATCGTTTGACGAGGTTGAAGTTATAACATTATTAGTCACAATGTCAACTTCTGATTTATCCGAGCTGTAATATTCATCAGTAGAATCGTTTACAGATTCCTTAGTGGATTCCGAAGTCATAACGTCAACAATCGTAACGTATTTCCAGGTTGCGGTGCTGACGATCGGTCCATTCGATGTCGAAGCTGCAACATTATCGATAACATCATCAGTTACAACGTCATGCGGTAATGTAGACAAGTCGATGCTTTCTTCCGTGGTTTCTATATTTTTTAGGATTTCCTTCGTGGTATAAGTCTCAATATCTTCTTGAGTTATAGGGGCAGGCGATGTTACTTTATCAGCACTCGTCTTTTCGAAGTAACGCTCGAAATGACGAGATCCTTTAACATTCTTCCTCGAATAGTCTTCAGTAATGACATTGGTATCTTGTGTAGATGTAATTATTGGAGTTATCCTTTTGAAGGGTTTCAGAGTTCTTGATAGAACTGTCCTTATTGCCGTTGGAGTTCTTTGAGTTGTTGACGGAACAGTCGTGATTGTTGTTTCCTTGGTGTGTTCTTGATGATGATGCTGTTTAAAATAGCCAATAAAATTATTTAAAGATGAATTAATTAAGAAACAAGACAGTTATAACAGAACAGACGTTGCAGCAAATCTTATTAAATATTTTTTTGAAGGAATACACATATATTATTATTTTACGTTTTTTCTTTAACGTTACGTTCCGCTCAAAATGTTTGCCAAGACAATCGACTCAATAATTGAGAAGAGAGTTATATTTAAAATTTGCAACAGATACGAAGCAAGTTTATAACAGCTTTTGTGAAATTTCTTTAAATCTGTTAAATAAATCGTCTCTCATATCTTCTACGAGCTTTTTGTAAAAGGTTTTTGTAAAATGGCACACCTGCGATTCGTGTTCCATATGTTGATCCTTGTAGTCTCTCTGATTCTTCGTCTTCCAGGGTATACAGGCGAAAATGAGGATGAGGCACATGAAGAAGAAGATAAGCAAGGCGATGAGACAGCTTCTGTACGACTGATCTCGTTGAGCGGCCTTGCCCTGCTCCCGATTGTTAATCTGGTACGTTTTGCGGAACGGCATGGTTTCTTCAACACAGTTAACTAGCAACTATATACGTCAATTTGAACGCAGCTAAGAAAGTCTTGACTCTACCATGTGAACCATATGCGACGTACTTTTGCGCCTAATCTTCCAAGACACTGATTGCGGATTGCGGTTTTCGCTGACCGCTTCCTCTCAAATATCACAAGAATTATCGCAAGATAATAGCTCACACAACAGTGTTTGGATTGACTCTGAGGGGTAAATTCAACTTTCCTTTCATGCAATATAAAACATTCTACTTGAGGTGCAACGTACATATTAATTTAAGAAGTTGATAAATTAATTTGGTGAGATAAGTAGAGCATTAAAGTAGAAGGAGTGACGATTAAGCAGGATTCAAGTCTGAGGGAAAGAATCTTCGGGAATAATTAGAATACAAACTTTGGCTATTTCATAAAATTGATGTTCTTTCTTAAAAGTTACTTTACATCTTTCGCGTTTGTGACTTCTGATCTAGACTTATTATTTTATAACAAATAAATTAAAAAGATGTCGCGCTGTAAAAAGTTTCGTTACAGCTCTGATATCGTGCGTACGCCTTGTAATTGTTAAAAAATGTAACGAACGAAAGTGTTCGAAAGGATACTTGGAGTATCAGTTATAACTACAACTGTGCCTATACGAGTTTTCTCATAGAAGAATCGAAATCAGCGACATCGAACGTCTTCGATGTGCGCGCAAATGTATATATAAGTTACTTATGTCGATAGAGCATTTATAATACAATTATCACAGATATGTAAACTACAAAATACCGTACGCGAATATAAAATGCAACTTGCTCCTTCGCCGATGATCCCATTGCACGTGCTACGACGATTTCGTCTACGTCCTAATTGATGTACAATTTAAATACGAATCAAAAAAATATATATATGCGTGTATGTATAGGTATGTATATATTGCAAAACTCTATTCGCTCGCGTGGGGCGAGTAGAGTTCCATGTTGCGCTTGAAATCCTTCTCGAAGTCCATAACCGGCGAGTCGGGTCGCTCGTTTAATTCACCGCCGGCCAATTCGACTTTCAGGACGGGAGGAACGTTCCCCGTTTTCTTGCTAGATTCTTCGTCGAAATCGCCAGACTTGAATGTTTCGGAAGCGACCTGCAATGAGATTAAAGAATTTAGTACGAGTAACAGACACAGAGAAAAAGACAGAAGTTTTAAGATTGAAAGCAGAAAAGTTACAAGCAGAATTATTAATAGTCCTTAAATAAACGATTTGAAACAAACAGGAAGGAATACGATCAAAAAATGAATGTAGAAACAAAGAGGTTTGCAACACACTGAGAAAGATACGGAAAGCGATGTAAGATATAAATTACTTTTCTTTCTATCTCATCAGTCTTAAGCTTTTCCAATTTCTCTTTGTCGGCAAGTGGGATTACAGTCTTTGATAACGTTTGTCTCTTTGGGGTGGGCTTTCGCGGTTTGAATGATCCAGATGCTTTTTTCGGTAATTGCGAGCTCGTATGCTTCTTGGTCTCATTTGATTGCTCGCAATTGTGAGTAACCAGCTGCTCCTTGGTCTTAAAGGCCTGCATAATAATTAACAGTCAATTGTTGAAGAATCACGCGACCAGTGGTTCCGTGTAATTCGAGAATGAGACTCACGTGGGAACAGATGTCGCATTTAAGGCTGTGCTTGTTCATCTCGTGATGCTTGAGAGCTTGCGCCCGATGGAAGTTGCGATTGCAGTGGCTGCAACTAAACCGCTTGACGTTGCTGTGCGTCAGCAGGTGTCGCTTGAGCTTGTCGGGTCGCGAAAACTCACTCATGCAGCCCAGGTAGTTGCGAAACGGGCACTTGAGCCTCTTTGTTAGATCGTGAATCAGCATGTGCCGGCCCAGCCGATCTTTCCGCTTGAATCTGGCCGGGCAGTGCTGTAATTTCAAATGTAAGCATCAATGTTTCAATAAGCAATATGTAATTTATTGTAATTGATGTGCTGTTAAAAAGCAACATTCATATCTATAGATTATAATTTGCAATATTAATATATTCGCTTGCAAAAATTATTAGCACTTAAAATATAGTTTACTTTCACAAGATCCAAAATATACGCTGAATATTGCTAATGTAAATATGTTCACTTTATACATTCGTTGGAATTATTTTTCCTTACCGGACACGTGAAAGGCGTCTCCTCGCTGTGTATCAGCTTGTGATTGGCCAGGTATTGCTCGGTCTTAAAAGCTTTGCCACAATCCTCGCAGGCGAATCTTGCCGATGCCGAATGAGTTTTGAGATGACGGCGGAGAAACCTTTCAATGAGGAAGCTCTTGCCGCAGTGCAGGCATGCGTAATTGTGCGTGGTGGTTTCCTTGTGGTGCTGCAACGCCTCGAGATTCGAGAACGACGATTTGCAGGTCGAGCAGCAATAATACTTCTCCGTGGTCTTCTGCTTCTGGACGGAGTGGACGTACTGATGGCGACCAAGATCCGACAGGGTGCTGAACACTTCGCCGCACACGTGGCACCGGTATTCCGAGCACTTGTGGCTGCGCGTGTGTTCCAGGAACTCCTCCAGATCCGAGAACATCATGCTGCAGCTGCTCTGCACGCATTTGTACACTTTCAGTGCCAGATGCGAGACGATCAGGTGGCCTTTCAGAGCTTTGTACGAGTCAAACGTCTCCTTGCAGAATTGGCAATGGTATGTGCGGTCGATACTTCCGTCCGGGGGTGCCTAAAAGCCGTTTCAGAAGAAAATGATTAAACCAGTCTACAAAGAATGAGGTAAAAAGAAGGAATATTAGAGAGATATCAAGCACAAAAATTAAGTGTAAAAACTGTAAAATTAAATTTCGACTGTTTTTTTAATGCTCCTTTAAAGATACAAACTGTTTTAATGCGATGTAACAATTCTTTTAGAAAAGTTTCTACTCTTGCAGAAATGCATTTTTATAAAAGCAACACGTAACACATTTTTTCCTTGTAAATATTTGAAAGAGAAGAGCAGATCTTATCTAGAAATTGTTTTAATTAAAAATTCCACACCTCCGGTGGTAACGAGTGAATGGCGGTGCCGGGCCATACTTTGTGCGAGGACATGTGTTTCTTCACGTTCGACTTCTGCGCGAATGCACGACCACACACCACGCATTGATAAGGCTTTTCTCCGGTGTGAGAACGTTCGTGCTGCTGCCAGTAGAACTTCTTCGCAAACTGTTTGTTGCAATAACCGCACTTGTACTGCAACCACGCAAACAGATATGCATATCTCAGGCTAAAAAGTTTGTATTGTAATAATCTCGTAATTTATTAACTTATGAAAAATGGTATTATATTTGTTGCAATAAAGTTAATTAAATTTCACAGTTAAACAACTTGAAAGTATTGATAACAATTTAGTATCATAGAATCGAATTTTATAGCTTTTATTTTTCCTTTTACTTGGAAACCAGCGGGCCGCCAACGTGACGATACCTTTAAGTTCTGCGTTCGACTAATGTCATTTTCCAATTCACCGAGTGAATTATCCTGGATGGATATCTCGTTGTTCTCGAGAGAGGATTCGTTGTCCTCTAAAGGCGGCTCGTTATCCGCCAGGGATGGCTCGTTGTCCGTCAACGAGGCGCTAGGATGCTCGGACTGGCTTGAGGCGTCCTCCTGCGAGCTGATGTCGTTTCGCAGATGTATCGTCGGCACCTCGCTCGAGTCTTCCGTCGTCGCCTCGATGGCAGTATTACCAAACGTGTCCAGGTTCTCGGTACTCAAGATGATTGGCACGCTGAACGTAGAGTCCGTCATGAAATAATTAGCAGCCTCCTGGTCCACGCTGCAACAATTGAATCGGATTCAAGACAGATTCTACACACTAAAGAACAAGTTTCACAAAGGCGAGAGACGATCTGTGCGTTTAAAACGACACCAACATGATTAATACAAATTCATTCACCTGGACGAATTATGATTGTAATTGAGGAATTTGGTGGGAGGACGACTTAAGTTATTCCTTCATGTGCTACAAAAGCTAAGCTAAAAGCTAATCGTATTCTATAAATTAATATCTAAAATGTGTACTCGGAATCTTTAGTTTAGTCAATAAATAGAGAATCTTCCAATTTCAAACCTGTAAATGTAAATTTTTATTCGACAACTTCAGTCGACTAAAGTTGTTCTTCCACCAAGCTCCCCAATTATCACTAGGAAAATACCTAAACAGCATGTCTGCTTCCTCGAGAATAATGGGTTCGCCAAGCTGAAAAGTCTCCTGCGAGTTGTACTGCGACTCGTCCTGAGCGACATCCTCCACGTGCATCGCCTGACTCTCGTCATTCGTCAGGAACTGAGTCAGGTCCACCGCCTGCTGCTGCGCCTTCTGGTGCGTCCGCTTGTGCAGCACGAACATCTGCAGCGACGTGAACTGGCTCTTGCACTTGCCGCACTGGAATATATCCTCCTCATCCTGGTCGATCGCTGGAACGTGAAGAAACGTCGGTGTTACATAATGAACAACATGTGCAAAGTGCACGGAGTAGCGTCTATTCCTGGCGCATAGAAATGTATACCTGACTGCTCGACCTCGGCTATCAAGGTTTGCGACTCCAGCAAGGATTGCACGGAGGAGCCATCCAGCGAGACATCTGCAAGAACGTTAAATGATCAAGACGAGGACGCGATTAGCCGCGGACGAGCGTCCCGAGGCCGGTTGCGTGCAGGGCGAACCGAGTCGACGACCGAGTCAGTGACCTCTATTTTCCACGCTCCTCGGACTCTCGTGTGAAAGTCCGCGCACTCCAGGGCGCGCAAGGGAGGCGACGAGCGCTCCGGGGCGCCGTCTCCTCGGCCCCGGGGCGGGTTGTTGACGTTACCGGGCTCGGCGAGAACCCCGCCTAGCTCGCAGGCGAACGCGCGCACTCACCCGTCAGTGCATCGAGGATAGACTGCGCCATGTTTCGCGATCAGCACGTCGTCATCCTCGGGTGGGCCTCGACCGACTCCTAACTCGCGCGGGTCGGCGGCATCCGCCGGGATGGCGACATGACGAGCACCGCTCTCGCGTCCCCGTCGCTGCCGAGACGGCGCCAGCGCACTGATCGATACCTAACCTCAAAGCGCGACATCGCAGGAGCGACGCCGCGCGGCCGCTCGCCCGCCCGCCCGCCGGCTCGCTGTTGCTTCCCGCTTCGGCGGCGCGTACTCGAGCAGCAGCAACGATTGACGATTACATCCAGACGCGACTCTTCCGCCCCGCGGGAACAAACGTTCCCTCGCGAGCGAAGCTAAAGGTGTGGACGTAAAAGCGCCAGTTCGTACGCCCGCCGGGGGATTTTTTTCGGCTCGCGGGCGTCGATCTGGAGGGAAATACGAGTTACATAATTGACACACGTATAAATATCCGATATTACAGATCGAAATGCGCGCAGCCCTTACGACATTAGTCGCGTTGTTGCACGGAGAGTACAATCTCGCGCGCGGTCGTGTTCGACAATCGAGAGATCGACCCGGCCTCGATGTATCGACGCGGTCGCAGCGGCTTTTAGGTTGGATCGGCCCGTCTTCAACTACGCTCGCGATGAGTTTCTGACGTTGTCCGAAGGGAAAAGATTGTCCTCGCGCGTAGAATGGCGGTGTCTTTCCTCGGACGGGGGTTCGCGTTGACGCGACGGAATCTCCTCAAAGTCCCGAAGCGGCACGGATACATAGTTCTGTGAGTTCGCCCACGTTGCCACGTAGAGGTTAAGTTCCGCCGTGGCTACGCATTTTCTCCTTCGGCCGTTCTCTGCCGTTTTGTTCCACATTTGTGCGCACATACTTTTCGCATTGTATCGTCCCTTTGCCAATTCCATTAATTTCAACTACACTTCTGTTCGTTGGGTCAAATCGTATCTTTAACTTGACGCATTTTGAATTTGCGCTCCACGTTAATTACTTGATCTCTTAATCATTTAATTTGTTTTGCATATTTGTCGCGTGTTTATGGATTATTTATTTAATATTTGTTACACATTGTCGACTTGTTTGTATATTATATATTTATTACGTTTGTATATTATTTACAAGTTATGTAATTTAGATATATATTTTATAACGTACGTTTAAATACGTCCCTGATATAATTTAAATATGTGCATTAAAGCACACCTTAAACACATTAATTTGCGTAATTAAATATATATATATTTTTGTTTTGTTCCTCTTGTACTTTTTGCTTGTATTTTTGTTAAGCATCTGAATTGAATTCGCTTCCCCTTTTTCTATACGTTATTCACCTCGTATAATTTTACACTTCTTTTCCCTTGGCGTCAAGACTTCCAGAAATCGGCGAAGAATCGTCGGAAAAGAATCCTTTGCTTAAGGATGACAATCTACCAGAATTTAACACGCTCACAATTGAAAAGTGTACGGCGGCTATTGGGAAGCAAACCGTGGATTTTGAGGAGAAGATGAAGAGCTTGGAGAAAATTGTGGAAAGTAAGTTTTAAGTGTCAAGCCGAAGATAAAGTACGGCATATTAAATGTTTAAAGATATTTTATACTGGGAATGTTAATGGAATGTAATTTGAAAAACTAAATTTATTTCTGTCACATTACCATTTAATATTGAATTATATAAACTGTTGTACGTGCAACTGCGAACATATGCATAGCGAGCGAATGAATAATATGAGATCTTGTAATCGTCCACGACAACAAGACTGAATTGAAGTGAATTCAATCCTGAGCCAAAAGAAATATGATCCAAAGTATAATCGCGACCTTTAATTTTCAATTCTTGTAATTATTTACAGCGACAAAGGAAATAGATGTATTCAACGATTGGTTACATCCGATCGAGGATGTGTATCTTCCTCTAGAAACCACTTGGGGCATAGCCAAGACTTTGTACTTTAGCAACCAGAGTCTGATGCCGACAAAATGCTACGTGGGTATTCACGAACGTGCCACGAGAGCCGCGGCGAGCAAATTTGGCAGCGCGCCGCTCTTTAAAGCGTGCAAGGAAGCGCTGGACAATAAGGATATGAAATGGACACATTCGCAGAGGAGGGTACTTACAAAGTACGTGCTGGAGGGAACCTTGAATGGCCTGCAGCTGGAGAGTAAAGAGTTGGAGAAGTACATGGACGACCTGAGGTACATCATGTCGAAAATCAAGGAGTACAAGCCGAAATACGAGGTCTGTCATATAATCTAGAACAGATTTACAACAATTATTACACGAAGAAATCAGAAAAGTCTATAACAGGATAATTGTATTTCTATTTTGTATTAAAGAGAACGCAACATTGCTGTCGGGATTTTATGTCATTGCAGCTTTACTTTCTTGGCAGTAAACGTTTGCGATTTATCTCGAGAAAAGCGCAGCAACAACTGAAATGTGAACTGATCTTTTTTTTAGAGCTCTACAGCCGTATATAGTATGACGATACACAACAAACAAGTCGTGGAGGATTTTCCAGAGGACTGTCTCAAATCCATCGCGATGGATCCCAGGCAACCTTACACAGGTCCTTGGACGATCAATTTAAAGCCGTATATCCTGCAACCATTTATGGGTGCGCGTCTTTCATACACTTGTTCGTAATAGTGAAACAAATGGAATTCTGGAGATCTTGATATTTGAATGAATTGGTATTTTCTCAATTAGAGTATTGCCCCGATCGCGAGTTACGGGCGAAAGTCTGGGATGCCGATGTCACGCGGTGTTCTAATTATCAAGAGAGGTCCGTTCAAGCTAGCGTGACGTTGGAGGAGCTCCGTGCAAAAAGAATCGAGCAGGCGAAGCGCTTGGGGTTCAAGAATTACGCGGAGATGAGCATGGAGACAAAGATGGCCGGCACTCTGGAGAATCTGTACAACACAATGGAAATTCTTCGGAACACTGGTAATTTAATTCATAAGTGTGAAAAATATGGCAAAATTTATTAGAGCACTTATGATAATTTGTTAAAATGATGAACGAACGCTTTTATTCCAGTTAGATCCGTTGGAAAAAATAATGTACTTTTATTAATATATTACTAAATTATGAATGTGCAGCGCGTTATTAATAGACTTCAGATTATTGATAGCGTTAATTGATTGATTAATATCCATCTGATATTTTTTGCAGCATTTTCCGCTCAGAAACAAGAAATCGCGAATTTAACCGAGTTTGCGAAGGAGAGAGATTTCAATGATGTTATAAGGGTATGGGACATTGCGTTCTGGGGTAGAAAACAACGCCACATGCACAAGTAAGTAAAATGCCTGTTAAATGTCCCATATATGTATATTTAATACAATGACAAAATCTTTATTCACATATTGTAAAATGATCTTACGGTCGGCTGCACTTTAAAGAATAGTATAAAATATTCTGTATCTGTAGAATTCGAGTATTATCTGAGATATTTGATATTTGTATTTTCTAAAAATTCATGATACTGAATAAAAAAATCGTAATGCATTCTCAATTATTTTACTTAATTCCATGCTCGTTTAGCTGCGACGAAAACAAATGGAGAGACTACTTTCCGCTACCAACCGTGCTGTCCGGCCTTTTCGAGCACATTGAGACGCTTTTCAACGTGAAAATAGTCGAAAACAAGAAAGCGGATATTTGGCACAAGGACGTACGGTTCTTCGATATATTCGACTTGAACGGATCCGGCGCAGCGCCCATCGCGAACTTCTACCTAGACCCCTACGCCAGAGGTACGGAGAAATTCCGCAAGGAACAGAACTCTGGATGGGTGTCCACAATTAAGAGTAAGAGCAAAATCGGCAATAGCACTCCGTTGATCGCCCTGATCTTCAACTTTCCGCCACCGATGGGCGACAAACCTTCCCTGCTCTCCTTCAGGGACGTGCAGGTTCTCTTTCAAAAGGTAACTGTATTATTTATAAAATTATAACGGACTTGTAATGTGTTAATGAAATAATTAATCTCTTACGATTGCTCGTATATTACAGTTTGGACACGCTTTGCAACATTTGCTAACCACGGTCGAGTACTCTGACATTGCCGGATTGTCGTTTGTGGAATGGGACGCGGTATTCATTTGCGATTTCTTCATGGAGAACTGGTATGAAATAAAATAATTCCTGTATATTTCGCTCACTTAACTGCTTCGTTTGTGTTTTATTATACTCTTGTGTTACCGTTAATATTGTAGTTAATTAATTAGTTAATATATTCGTTGTAGGTTGTACGAAACATCTATGTTGCAAAAAATCTCCGAACACTACGAAACAAAACAGCCATTACCTGAGGAAGCTATCGAGAGCATTAAAAGAATGAGATTGCACTTGGCCGGCTACAAACTTTGCAAAGAACTGTACTTGTCACATTTAGATCTGGAGCTACATTCCAGGTGAGCGTTGATGAAAAAAAATCTTTCGGCTGAATTTCTTCTCAAGTTATTTAAAAGAGATGCTCCATTATAATAGAACAACTCGGTATTTTGAATTCACATTAGTCGCCGTTTAATTTTATTTAATTGGAAAAATTGTAGTGAGATCTTTTGGGTGGCTATGATGAAACGCTTGTGGCCGAAATATTTCGTGTTGCCTCTCGAAAAAAGGGACGTTCATGTTTGCAACTTTGAGGCTATATGGAGTGGCAATTGGGCGGCCGCGTATTTCAGGTATTGCGAGATACACGTACCTATTTTCATATAAATTGAAGAATTTCTGGTAAATTGATCTTAATTTAAGACCGTGCTTATACAATTGTTACCTCAATTTGCAAAGTTCTCCTAATTAATGAATTAACAAAAAGCGGTTGTTTACAATTGCTACTAGTTTAAAATTATTATTAGTAGATCATGTTTGCACGTGATCGAATCTATCGAACTGTAAAATTGCAGCAAAGTTTGGTCCGAGATGATAGCCGCCGATTTGTACACGGCTTTCCAAGAGGTCAAGTCCGACGTGTCGCAGCAGAAGGAGCTGGGCGCGAGGTTCCGCGACACATTTTTGTCCCTGGGCGGCAGTTATCCTGCCGCCGAGGTGTTTAGGAAATTCAGAGGAAGGGACCCGAGTCCGCAGGCGTTACTGGACAATCTCGGATTGACGCGCGCGGCGAAGGAAACGAAGTGATGTGATTACACGATTAGATGCAATACTGCTCTCCACGGGTGCGCAAAAGTAACGACGAAACCTGTATAGTAATAGATAACTTACTTAGGATCCAGGAATTAATTGAATTGTGAAGTGGTCGAATTATGCAATAAATTATTACTTGTAAAATAATGTGCTAGAAAAACGCGAGCTTTTGTTGAAATTAAAATGATATACGATGGTTAATTTGAACAAAACGAAATATGTAGTAGGTATGTTATAAACAATTTCTTTGTCTTCGGTGCCGTACTTTTTTTTATTAAAATGTTTGTAAAATACTTTTTCCCCGCACCCTCCTTTTCCGCATTAAATATATACATACATGTGTATATGCTCGGGTGACAATTTCAAAAAAGTATATTACGAATATATAAATTCGGTTAATTTTATACTGTACTTTTGTATTGTTCGTTTAATTATTGTAACTGTTTTGTCCGATAATTCTGAGCGATTTTTTACTCGTTGATAAAACAATACTGTTTTATCATGTATTGATAACTCGCGTCTCTGTGTCGATTGATTAGTTCACCCGACTGATCAATAGATGATAGTTGCATCGCGAATCCCCTTAATTAATATTCATAACAATTATTCACTTAATTTATCGTGACCTGTGGACAGGCCGCTAATAAATACACTAAGGCGCGACAATAAATTTGCCCGTTACGGAAAATAAGCGTTAAAGAACTGAAGAAAAGCATGATTCAAGTCGGGCAGAATTATCGGAAAAAGGAAATTAACGTAACGAATAAATGCGAGATATGTGACATCCGATAAACAAGATATATATAAACTTCCTGGAAAGCTGTCTACTTCTTTTCGAACGGAAGGTTGCAGCTGCCATGAATAATGCAGACCTGCTCCACGTCAATAATTCCTGGAAACAGTTTCACGATCTGTTAATAATTAGTAATTATCTGACTATCGTAATAACTATTTCACAGACTGTCCTCGCGGAAAGACTCGGGGGCGATCATAATTCTGATTGACCCAAGCGACGACTATCTGTGACATTTTCTCGTCACGAGTTCCCACAATTTATTTATGCAAGCTATATGTAAATTTAAAGCGAAATAGGGTACAAAATTAAATGAGGCAACCACTTGAATTGGTCATGAATTCAAATGTCTTTGATATGGCACAGTTCAATGTGAACTTGGTCAGAAACACTAATAATATATAATAACAGGATAACAAAGACGAATTCCGTTGATCACAATTCTAGTTGGTCAAGGTAGGCGCAATACTTAAGCCAACGGCGCACGATACTATTTTTCCCCATTGGATTCCTTAAGGCCTGTGTCCGCGATGCTAGGACTTAGTCCAAGTTCTAGCATCGTGGATACAGGCCTTTACGCTCGTGAGCAATCCAGTAGGAAAACTAGTATCGTGTGCCGTTGGCTTTAATAATGCAAGTTACAATATATTCCCTAAAATCACTGGCAGTCCTTCGCCTTCTCTCACACTTGACACTAATTGCAAGTCTCGGTTTTTTCCTTCTCCCTACAACGGCTCGCAACGAGACTCTCTCTCTTCTCCTGTTTTTCCCGCAAGTCATTACCTCGCATTACATTGTATTTGTATCTCACGCATGACCCCACGCAAGTGCCAACTGTCTAAAGGCCTGTGTCCACGATGTTAGAACTTGGTCCAAGTTCTAGTTTCGAGAAATGTGTAGCCAATCAACTTGTAGCTTTTATGGAATGGCTGCGAGTTGATTAGCTACACATTTCTCGGAAC